TTATGCGGTGAATAAATTCACACGAAGGCGTCGCTTTCACCCCCACTGAAATAGAGTTTGGAGCTCGGGTTTAGAGCCTTAAGTGAAAAACAAGTTTGGAAAGCTGAAATCATTAGAAAACAGTTAGTACAACTATTTACTCGAAAATATAATCAAAAGTAAGCAATAAGGATCAAAATGTTACCTTAAAATTTCAGAATTTGTTGGTCAAAGTAAAATAGTTGAATAATTTAATGATTTATTTGGGGATATTTTCTGAAAGTTTTTAGTTATTATTCAGGGAATTAAAGGGCAAAATGCTCAATTGACATTAAAGATATTTTTATCCCCTTTAATAGGAGATAAAAACGTGGGAAGATGAAAACATTTCATCATCATCTTCATTTTCTTCTCCAACCGTGGAGGTTAGGCAAATGTAAGAGTTTTCTATTTTGTTGATTATTTGTTGAATTAAAGGTTGGGTTTTGATCATTAGATGATAATTAAGCTTAAAGAAAGCTTAATTTGTACTAAAACAACAAGATGAAAGGTATAGGAGAGATTAAAGATTTTGAGTTCTTGAATGAAATCTTGAAATAGAGTGGATAAGTTGAATTTTAAGTTGAATTTGACTTGTCATCTATGAGAATAAGAAGATAGAAGTGTTAGAATTAAGTTTGGATAACATGGAAAATTTGGTATGATTATTGATTTCTATATGGAGAATAGAATTTTGAGGTTTAAGATTAAATAAATGGATATAAATTAGTTTAAGTATGTATATTTGAGTTAAGAATATGAAAGGAAATGAACCATGAAGAATTTAAGTTGATATAGTGAATTTTCTGGGCTTGAACGAAAATTCCAGATTGTGTAGGGGGTATCGATTTCCCCCTAAATGAAAATGGAATTTTGGTTCATTAAATCGGCTTAAGTTATCAACATCAAGTTTAAGGTTTAGGCTTCTGATAGTTGTTTTGAAATGTTATATTTATGTAGATATTGAGCCTAAACAAGTTCCTGAATAATCAAAGGATTAGGATTGAATCAAAGCAAAACTAAGGTGAGTGCAATTTAATTTGTGCTTATGTTATAGAACGAACATTGGCTTGCGATGAGCCAATGACGGATTTACTATGGTAAGAAGTAAATTCTAAAATGTTATATGATTTATATGTGTTAACAAGTTATAATATATGTTACATGATTTGCATAAGTATATGTTAGTGTGATAAGTCATATGAAATAATATAAATAATCTACAAGATTATATAAGAATATGAAATATGTTATAGAAATTACATGATGACATGTTTGTTCCTTGGTGTTGTGATATATATGTGTTATTTAATATGAATATGGTAAGTAAAAAGGGTTAATGGGGATGATAAGAATAATAAGGATAATGAAATGACATGTATATGAGAATATATGTATATTCGATCCAAGTTATGTGAATATATGAGAATACATGCCTATGTGATGAGCTATGTGATGTATATACGAACATATGTGAACAAGATATGACATACGTACATGGACAAATGAGGAATGATATATGTTATATGATATGGACCTATGTGACTACGTGAGAAATAATATATGTCTATGAGAAGACATAAGAATAAAGTATAAGCTATGTGACATATGAATATGAATCATATGAAAATGTTCTACGTGTAAGTGAACTATGTGATAAATATGAAAAATGATACCCATGTTATGTGTCATGAGATCTAGAGGAAGATGTTGGCATGTCAAGAGTAGAGGGTCTACGCGGTCATTCGGGACAAATTATACGTGGTCCTTCGGGACATATATGTATTATTTGGAACATGTATGAGGTCTTTTGAAACACCTACTTGATCATTGGTATATGTATATGATTCTTAAGGAATTTATATGTGGTCCTTATGGACAATCTTATATGGCACTACAATGCATTTCTACGTGGCACTTCGGTGCAAATTCTACGTGGCACTACGGTGCAAATTTATATGAGCTGTGGTGACAATATTTGTGCACAACCTCAATGTACTAACATACCTTCAGTTCTCACCAGTGTATCATGGGCTAATAAAGAGATAATATCAAATACAATATATAAATGATGCATATGTTTGTTTTTATGATACAAAATGTGTTATATGAATTATACAATGTTATATGTGTTTTGTTATGAAATGATATATGTGTATATGGAATTGCTCAACATATGTTTATATGATAAAAAGGAATTAGTGATAACAATATGATTACTGATAAATATGTTCATGATAAATGCATAGGTGTGCATTGGTTATACCATGGTAGATATGCTTTTATATGATATGATAGTATTTGCAGATGTATGCTTTTGTTTATATGAAATAGTATATGGTTATAGTATATATTTTATATGTCTCACTAAGTCATCGACTTAGTGTGTGATTGTTGCACACGTAGGTTTGGAAAGCGAAAAGAGAAGTAAAGAGGAACAAGACAGATCAGTTCTCCTTACCTCAGATCAGATCAGAAATGTAGATCGAATTATATGTATTTTGTTAGAAAGAATTTAGTTGGCATGTAATAAAAAGGATTTGTATTAGATACGCTCTAATCGAGTTTTGGAAAGGTTTTAAACGTATATATGTAAATGGTAAATGTATAATGATGAAACCTTGGATTTTTACAAATTTATACGTATTTTACGGAATTACTGTAGTAGTACTGTAGCAGGGGAATCGGTTCCTTATTTGTAAGCTGGAAATTTTAACATTTGGGGTATTGTAGCAGGGTACTGTTCATCATTGTTCATACGGTATTATTCATCACTGTTCATACGGTATTGTTCATATCATATTTTATTATTCATACATACGTTTTTACCTCAAAATTTTATGCCAAACACAATTGAACAATATATGATCGTATTTTCTTAAAATAAGTTCAAATGTTTTGATATTTCCTAAAGAAAAAGGTTTTGAAAAGTCAATGTGATATCTCGGACTCGTATTCGGGTCGAATACGGGTTTGGGTGTTATAGTAGATCTAAGTTAAAAAACTTCGAAACCCCTCTTTTTGATCATCGGCCGAGTACTCTACGGGTTAAAAACGAGCTAAATCTCAAGCAAACAAGATCAACATGCATAGACAAAAAAACTTACGAACAAGGTTAAAAAAACCTTTTTATTTCCTTTTGAAGCGTTTACAAAAAGCTTAAATGGACCTTCCTTGTGTATTTCTCAGTGTTTTCGTAGTAAACCCTCTGTGTATTGTGTATGAAATTCCCCTCCTTCGTAGTTTGATTACATCTTATTTATAGGGTTTGAAAAACCCTATTTTTAGACTATAGTTTTGGGTCCTAACCGCACTAAACTACTGCATTATTGTTGGCAATGATCCTTGCGGCGAACAGTTCGGAGTGGGTGATGTGCTATTGTGAAACTTGGACATGGGGTTGACTCCATGCAGCGCTGTTGAGCTGCTTGGGAGGGATGCGACGTTGAGGTGGGATTAGGGTTTTTATTGCAATTGGGTTAGCGTGTGGGTTGTGGCTGGTGTGGGCCAGCTGTTGTATTTTATTTGGGCCTGTACATAAAAAAATAAAATTAATGATAATAAATATATGTATATTATATAACATAATTCATAGTATTATATAATATAATATTAGTTAGGGCGGATGAAATTAGGTGTCTTCAATAAGGGATGTAATAAACATGTAAATTTTGAAGGATGGCCTGCGTCAATGCTGATATAGACTTAAAGACATGACACAAAAATCCAACAAAGTTTATTTAAAATTATCATTTAGTGAAGGTTATTGCAATGACTTATTTTCCAGGCCAAGTTCGTATACACAAATTTCACAGATGCTACCAGGGGCGTACCCAGGACAAAAATTCAGGGGTTGCATAAAAAAATTCTTATAAATTTTTTAGGGGTTGCACAATATTAAAGGTGACACTTGTATTAATTTAAAAAAATTAGAAAAAATTAACACTAAGTAGATAATTTTATTGTATAAATTTTTTTTTCTATAAGAATTTATCTGAAATATAGGGATTCTACTTAAAAATCACAAAATATATATATAAAAATACTAAAATAATATCATTTGATCAATATTCCTCACAATTTGAGGGGTTGCCCGGGCTACCCCTGGCAACCCCTGGGTCCGCCCCTGATGCTACCATAGCTTCTGTACTTGAACTACCTAAGATTATATTTTAACTTCTATATCATAACAGATAGATAAGGGATCGGAAAAATTCCACATGAGCTCAGATAATGTAGGATGTACTAATGATCGTTAAACAAATATATCTCGAATATTTTTTCCGAATATCACACAACTGTTAATTGATAAGAGTATCGATTCTTCTTATTATTTTATCAATTTTTATCAGTCTTCAATATTCCAATTTTTAGTGACTCACAGTCCAATTGTAATATATATGATGGTAATCTGGACTATTGTTTTACATTTTATTTTCTAAAGCAAAAGCAGAATTATAATTAATTTAAAATGCATAATTATTAGTAAGTTTATGCACAAATGCTGACATTGATGAAGATATTTATTTTCTAACCACAAACTTGTCGGTTTTTAGCAAAAAAACAACAATATTAGAAAACGGGACAGCTCTAAACATTTTTTTCTTTGGCCTTTAAAAGCCGTCTTAATCGTCAGCTGCCATGTTGGGGTGGTTACAACTAAAAATTGCAACTTTTTGTTTGACGTTTTAGTTCAATTGCTCACCAAATTTGAAGGCTGTGTGGATCATTAATGATAAACTTATTTACTACTTCAATTCACTACCATCATACCCAATGTGATTGGTTTTACAATTAAAAGGGGGGAGACTGTATTTGCATCAAAAAAGAAGAAAAAAGGGAGGCGACTGGAAAATCTTTCTTATCTATGGCAGACACCAAAAAGTACAAACTGAAGCAACACTATTGAACAGTTTCAATCATCTGGGAAGCTTTGTTTAGCGTATAATTTGGCATTCGGTTTTATTCTTATTTCACTTGTAAAAATACATCTATAGATGGCTTACAATAAAGGTTTATAATATATCATCCACCATCTCATATTCACAAAATTTTCCCCAGGATTCAAGCATACCCATTTCTCCCAGCTTTGCATATTTTTTCCAGGATCGGCTTCAGATTTCTTGGGTGCACCTCCATCAACAGCCCATACTTCATGAACAGAGTTAGTGACATCTTCTGTTCTACCCGATGTCCCGGTGCCACCTTAAGACAGTGTTGGAGCAGCACTGCCGCTGCTATTGATTTCATCTGAAGATATGCTAGATCTTTACCTAAACAAATTCGAGGTCCGGCGTTGAATGAAATAAATCTATACGAATCTTTTGGCTCATATTTCTTGCCGTCTTCAGACAACCACCTTTCCGGCTTGAATTCCAAGCAGTCATCACCCCAAATAAATTTCATCCTTCCAACTGAGTATATCGAGTATGTCACGTTTGATCCAGCAGGGACAAATGTTCCATTAGGCAAGACGTCATCGGCTATTACATGCTTCGAGTCTTGTGGCACGGAAGGATAGAGTCTTAATGTCTCGGACAATGCTGCCTTAAGGTATATCAATTGGTCGATTTCTTCGAACACAAGGGGTTCATCTATCCATTTGGAAGTGTCAATGCCACGTGTCTCCTTCAGGACGGTGGAAATTTCAGTGAGGATCTCCTCTTCTACCTTTGGGTTTTGACTGACCAACCAGAAGAACCAGCATAGGGCGACTGATGACGTATCTCGCCCAGCTAGGATGAAATTCAATGCCACGTGTTGGAGGAATTCATCCGAGTAAGATTCTTTCTTTTTCATGAAACGGGACAGCAAGTCATCGTGTGGGGTATCCCCTTGTTGCTGACTGACCAATTCAAGCTTACGCGTATTAATGATGTCGGATAAGTATTTATCCATGTGGTCCAGGCTTCGGCTCAACGTGGCTTCCATCCCAAGCCGAAACCATTTTTTCAGCTTCCATATGATTTCAGGCAAAATAAAGCGTTGGAGAGTGGCTTCCGTGGCTCTATCGAAAGCCGTTGCGAAGCCGTTCTCAGGAAGTCCTCGGGACATTGTTTGAGGATCCTTGCCAAATGTCAAGCCACATATGTTGTCGAAAGTGAGCCGAAGCAACAGGTCTTGAAAATCAACCGGCTTCCCTTGGAGCTGAGCCGTCTCAAGAATCGGGCAGAACCGATGCTTGATGGCACGGCTAACCCACCGTGACATGGCTTGGCGCAGCGTCCTGGTGGTAAACTCCAGCGCGGCAGTCTTACGCTGGAACAACCACGTGTCACCGTCAGAATTGAAGATCCCATCACCAAGCAAATCATGGAACACAGCCTGCCAGTTAGGCCCCTTGGGATAATTATCGAACCGGCCCTTCAAAATATGCTCCAGGTTCTGGGGATCGCAGGTGACAGTCACGAGACCTTGCTTCCGGGCCAAAAATGGAATCGCGGCGATGCATGTCTGATACGTGCCGCCACATGCGCGGAGGTTGTCAGCGATCCACTCATGCATGGAATTGGAGTTCTGGATGAGCCCCGGAAGACTGCCTAATAAAGGCCAGACACGTGGGCCATTGAGCGACCGTGCAATGAACTTGAACCAGAGTAGATAAGCCACAATGGCTGATAAGATCATCAAAGCCGCTGATGTATCCATTTGCACGTAACGTAAATATGAGGTGGAAGCTATTGATGAAGGAACATGAGCAGAACTCGAACTGACACAACAATGGCGAAAAATAAAGGAGAAGAGACGAGAAGCCTGTGAGTGTGAGTAAAGGGAAAAGGGTTATATAGAAGAAACTCAGAGAGCAAAGCATGCAATTAATAGGGGCAGCCAAATTTGTTGAGAACATCTCTCTCCCTTTTCCACTTTTATTTTATTGTTTTTGTTGAGTGCATGGATCTGATTAACTCGGCTTTCAAATATAAACAGCACATTGCCATTAATGGCCGACTCAGGTCGTTGAGAAAAAGCACTACCAGATCAGTTAGACCTTGCAACAAGTACACAATTAAAATAAATTTAATTTTCATTTTACTAATTTCAAAAGTTCATCAATATATATATATATATATACAATAAATTAATAAAAATAAACGGTTTACTTTTATGTATAATATAGTTATCAATAACTAGACTAATGTCTCAATTTTGGTGAAACGATAATTAAATTCTAGTAAATTAAAATAAAAAATTACTTCTCTATTTTCATAAAATAGATCAACAAAATTAATAATTAGAACAACTAAACATCACATGGTGGAATTGATAGGAAAAATTATTATTTATTTTTAAGAAAGTTTATTTATGTTTAGTGTAAAGTATATTATATGCCCTTAAATTATACAGAAGTTATTTTTTAATAAATAATCTTTTAAAAATTATAAAATAATTTTAAATAATTATATTTATTAAAGTATTCCAAAATAATATTTATATTTATAAAAACTTTATACTACTTTAATGTTATTGGAGGCCATGCTATAACCGTTTATTTTTTTTTAATATTTTTAAAAATATTTAAAAGATCATTGATAAAAATAAATAAATTTTACACCGTTATAATTTTCTCTAATATAACTTTACTTTTATTTTCATTTATAAATGACGTGTCTGTAGGAAGAAAGGGCTCACCTAATTTTTCAGGGATAAATCTTGTCCTTAAATTCCAACCATTGCAGCTAGCATATAATAAGACTGGTTGATATATATATATAATATGATTATAAGATAATATACGTTTTATTTTTTTTAATATTTGATAATAAAAATTTAAATACCTTTGTTATAACTTATAGTGCTCGAACTTGAAATCTCGAAAAATAATAATCATCCCTTTAATCGTTAAAATAGCTTAATTCATGGGATTAATATATATATATATATATCCTGGTAGTACTATTTTCGAATATAAAAAACATAATATATTTTTTGTTAGTTCGCACCTTTTATTTATATTACACGTGATTTGCATATTTTTACATTTTTATTATACTACTTTATTCTGCTATAAATTTTACTGAAGTTTATCGGAATTATTACAGACATTAATAAATTAGTATAAAAACAAAACCATTATAAATTTATAATATAAACAAGCAAAAATCAGATAGGGTCTTATTAGAATTGAACTTGTAGTCACTCATTTTCGTCTGGAGTTATATTTAATATATATATAATTTATATAATGTTTTTCGAAAATATATATAGTTTTGAAAACATTTTGAAAATATATATATAATATATAGTTTTTGAAAACATTTAAATGATACCGAAATGACAATTCAAGTGTGCTAATCCTTTCTTAACTGTAACCGACTCTCGAATCTGATATATTTCTTGTAAAACGCAGATCAGGTAAGATAGTGTCCGATCAACCTAAATACTTTTAAAATGATCGGTGACGGCTTTAACGTGTTTTATTTAAATTAAAGCCCAATTTCAAGTCCACCCGAAGAATGGTTACGACATAAATCACAAATGTCACTAAATCCAACAACAAAAAACTGAACTTTAACTCAAAATATATGCATTACATAGAGTCCCGACTGATAACACTTCTTTGCTTCTAAACTTTCAATAAACTTACAAATTCAAATTACTAGAAATAAACTCAGAAAATACAATATTTTATATTCCAAACACATGAAAAATGCCATACTTTTAGCAAGCTACAGTTCAACATTTTACATGATTCCGACTTGGGTATTCAATAAAATGTTAAACAATTCACAGAAAGGAATAAATTAACAAAAACCCACAAACAATTTAACCAAGTGTTGATTTTTTTTTTAATCTTATACAGAAAATTACTGGAAAAAAAGTAGAAGAAATAAATTGAACTGAACACATGAAAATAAAGTAAATATTTGGAAAATGGACGTAACAATACAAGATTTGATTGCGTGGACCTTGAGAAGCAAAATAAGAACACTAATCATATTTAGAGGTTAAATTAATATTTTATTTAAAATTTAAGAGTTAAATTTATATTTTATCTAAAATTAATATAATCTTATTAAATTTTTGTGACCAAAATATTTTTTTAAAAACGATGATAAAAAAGTAAACAAAAATAAAATAAAAATGTTCATTTTGATGATTTACCCTAAAATTAAAGAAGAAGAAAAAAAACTCCTTAATATTATGCCATTGATCCCTCTATCGAAAAAAAAAACCCCTCAATCTAACTATAGACTTTAACTACAGAGTAACCGTGGAAAGCAATAGTAAAATGGGGATTGATTGGATTCTAAATCCGTCGGCCTCTCTTCATTTTTTGTATAGTGTGATTCGACGGATCTCGAATAAGATATCAAACAGTGAAATTATCATCTGTCATATTCCAAAAACATGTGACGTGGAGTATCGATATTACTTTAATGGTTTTGAAGCTCTAAAACTAAAATGCATGAATTCAAGTTAATTTCACCTCAACAAACATCTAAAACACACCAAAACCAATTCTAAATATTTTAGGCTAGTTTCAAACATCAATGGACATATAAGTTTCCAATTCCAAACATTCTTCAATTAAGTAAATATCATTTTTCACTCGACATGTTAATTATTGATTGCATGTTTACAATTCAATATACAAATCATTGCAACACCAACTTGGCATTTAGTACATATGTGTAGAAACTTACCAGTTAATGCAAAGAACGCCTAAATGAACTTACACATGCCAGTGTACCAAATGATCTACGTAACTACCTATCAGTAGAAAGTCACACATAGTATGAGTTCAATAACACCACATCATAGATAGTGCCAAAGTTACGAGTAAACTAGGAGTTTAATATACTATTATTAGGAACTATATAAACAATTACACAGGACTAACAACACAATTTTTTTTCCATATTTTTATTATTCCGATTCTACTTTTAGGTACGACTATTCTAAGTAATAGTAATAGTTATGACTTAAATGTTATTTTAGTAAATTTTTGTTAAATAAATAAAATTGATATATACATATATGAATATTAAAACATTTCACGGAATCAATATTATTTAATATTTTTTATATTTAAAGATAAACATAAGATTTTATATTAAAGAGTATGAACAATTATAATTTTAAGATATTAGTCCGATTCAGATCAATACACGAACATCAATGTAACACCCATCATCACAACTTATTCATATTCGAATTAAAACTAATTTCAACAATTAAATATTCAAACAATCATCAACCATTAAATTAAATTAGAAACCCGCTAATTGTCAAATATAAAGGGATGGTGAATTTGACAACATTTACCCACCATTGCCATTATCATCCCCAGACAAATGCCAAACTTCCTTATCAAAATTCGATAGGGCTAATTTTGAAACTTAATTAGTTAGTTTAAGTGGTCATTTGTAAAAGATAACATTTCCATTAAGTAATAGTGAAATTTGTATCCCACAATATGAATGGATTTTAATGGGTTATTCGTACTGGTGGTGGAGAAACAAAGATATATGTTATTTACTAACCCAGTTGGTCAATGTTTAATTTATGATTTTAATGGGATGAAAGGTGATAAATTGGTCTCCCAGGAAGATAAAATAATATTGCAGCCAACTATTTTACCTTCTTTGATGATGTTGAACGGAGGTGTTTGGGACGGATGAATGATTTTATATTAGGGATGAACTTATAAAATTTTAAGAGTTCAACGAAAACATGTTATCAATAAAAAATACTTAAATTATATTATAATTTAAAATTTTCAAAAGAACAATTGCCCTGTCAATCTTCTCAGTTTATCCATGGTTATTGTACCATAGATTCAACTCAAATTTATTTGATTTTTTTTTATTTCAAATAAATTATCTATGGATCAAATTGCATAAATCATTAATTTCCATGGACAAATAGTTTTGAGAAAACCCAACTTCATATGGATAGTTTGGATTATTGATTTTAGACTCATCTGACGTGAGACGAATATAGTAGCAGAATTTTTTATGTTGATGGAGAAATGCATCTCTATTTCGTATGATAATTGAGACCATGTTAGAAAGATGAATTTTAAAAATTTTAGAAGACAATGAACTTATAAAACTCTAGAAATTAAAACAAATTATCAATAAAAATACTAAAAATGATAATTTTAAATTTTTAGAGAATGATTTAGGGCAGTCGTTCTCCACCATCCATATATGATTGAGATGTTGAGAGGGATAAAAGGCAGGTGGAACAAACTTGTATGGTTTGAGAGGCCTTAATATCCCAATCGTACCTAAAACCCCATACCACCATTCAATGTAAGCCAGGCAAGGCGATGGCGGTTTGCAGGTGCAGGCATGGAGTGCAACTTCAAAACGGTTCCAGCTGTTTGTTGTTATTCATCATTGCCGGTCACATGGAAGAAAAACATCAATGAAATCAACAGCAAAGTCATGGGGGGTTGACTTTTAGTTTACAAGTTTCCACCGACTGTCCAAAGTCAAAACAAAACCTAAACTTACAGCTCTCAATTAATTAATCCACTCCCTTACATTACTTCCTATACCATTGTTGCCACAATAACCGTTGCCTTTAAATGATCATGCAAGGATAAAGTCTTGTCAATTCCAAGTTTAATTCAACGCTTTATCTTTAGTTTGCTATGGAAAGAATATTTAAATTTATATTACTTGAGCTAATAACATATTCTGATATCTAAATATATGTAAT